GTCATAAATGGGGGGGTCAGAAACGGTCCCCTTTCGTGCCCCTTTCGGGCCCCTCCGGAGCCCCAGGGGGCTCGTTTAGGTACCGTTTGGGTACCTTTTCGGACCACTCCCGCCACCCCCCCATGTATGACCCCCCCATTACGCAACGCCCAATGATTTGTCCGCAATGCGAAGCCGGATGATTTGACCGCAACGCGAGGGCGGCGTCGTGAATTTGTTGGCGTTCTTCTCCACCTGCGGCCCCTGGGGGCCCTCGCCGACCCCTGGGCCCGTCAGGCACTGGCCCAGGATGAAGAGCAGGCCCCCCGGGAAGAGGTCCAGATCTCTGAGAGAACGCGTTTCACGGGCCCTCGCCTGGGGAACATTCGGCGGCGCGTCGATCAAAACCAGGGGGACTCCCTTCCCCCCAAACCCCCCCCCCCTCCCGACCCCCCCCCTCCTCCCAAAGGGGGGGGGGGCTCAAAATCCCCACCCCCCCTCGGCGCCAGCGCCTGCGCTGGCGGCTGCCAGCAGAGGCCACGGCGGGGACGCAGCGAGGATGACCAGACCAGGGGCAGCCCAGGGGGGGCCGGGGAGGGTTCAAACCTCCCCCCCCCCTCCTGACGCAGGAGGGGTTCAGACACCCCCCCGTTTGCGCCGGCGCCGGCGCTGGCGGCGGCCAGCAGCGCCGGTGCTGGCGCCGGCGACGGCGGGGACGCAGCGACACTTACCACCACTACCACCACCACCAACACCATTACCACCACCACCACCGCCTCAACCCACCACCACCTCAACCCACCACCACCACCAACAACAGCACCACACAACCACCACCACCACCTCCACAGCCACCACCACCACAACCACCACCAGAACTTGCCATCACCACCACCACAACCACAAAACCCACCACCACTACCACCACCACCACCACAATCTGCCATACCACCATCACTACCGCCACAACCACCACCACTACCAAAAACACAGCCCACCACCACCACCACAAACCACCACACGACCACCACCACCACCGCCACCACCACCACCACAACAACAAACGTCCACAAACCACCGCCACCACCACAACCCACCTTCACCACCACAAACCACCACCACACCACCTCCACGCCACCACAACCACCACCACCACAACTCACCATCACCACCACCACCACCACCACCACCACCACAAAAACCCACCATCACCACCACCACCACCACCACCACCACCACCACCACCACCACCACCACCACCACCACCTCCACAATCTACCACAATTCCACCACCACCGCCAGAACCACCACCAGTATCAGAAGCACAACCCACCACCACCACAAACCACCACACCACCACCGCCACCACCACCACCACTGGCACCACCTCCACAAACCACCGCCGCAACCACAACCCACCACCACCACCACTACAACCCACCACCACCGCCACACCCACTACCACAAACCACCACCACACCACCACCACACCACCACCAAACCACCACCACCACCACTTCACACCGCCACAACCACCACCACAACAAACCACCACACCACCACCACCACTCCACCACCACCACCGCCACCACCACCACCGCCACCGCCACCGCCTCCACCACCACAACCCACCACCACCACCACCACCGTCCTCGTCGACGCTCCCCGCCACCGCCGGCCGCCGCCGCAGGCCCTGGCGCCGGCCCAGAAATTGAAATACTCGTCCCCGCCGCCGTCGCCAGCCGCCGCCGACGCAAGCGCAACTCCGAGGAGAAGGGGAGCAAAAAGGGGGAGGGGGGGGGTCGAACCTCCACCCCCCTCTCCATCCACGGAGGGGGGGAGGTCCAGTTCAACCCCCCCCCCCGAGCGACCACAGAACGCGCTGTTTCAGATCTCTGAAGGAGGGGGGCGCGTTGCCGACAAAGGCGAAGCGTCGGATGCCTGGGGAGGCGGCGGCGCCCGCATCACCCTCTCTTCCTCCTGCGGCGCGCCCAAATTCCAGCGATGAATGTCAGCGTCATCTTATTCGGCGTCGCGGCAGGGGGGTACGGGGGTGGTCTGGCTCCAAACCTCTGCTTAGCGCGACTGTTTGCAACAGTGCGTCCGATGGAGGAGAGCCCACCTGCTCGAAACAGGCGCCCAAAACAGCCAAGATCTACTCCATGGGTGGGGGGGAAGAACGAAGGCCCGTGCCGATCAGCAAAACAGTGAATACGAAGATGGTAACCTGCGGGCGCAAACCCGTCATGTTTGGCGGATGCTCTGGGGGGCAGGAGTGGCTGCAGCTCTGCTCGACCGCGCGCTGTCAACCACCAGCCCCTGCGGATCGTGGGCCCTTTTCGATGGGGCAATTTTCTTCCAGCACAACCATAGGCAGGGAGGGGGAAAAGGGCGGATGGAAGGTCCTCCTCACCCCTTCCTCCTCCAAGGGAGGGAGGGAGGGGAGGAAACCAGTGCCGCATCGGCGATGCCTCGACGACGGCGCAACGAAGAAGATCCGGTTCCGAATCCAGCCGCTTCGCCGATCTACTTGTTGGAGGCCTGTTTTTCCTCGCCATGTCACTCTTTCTCCTCTTTCTCCCCAGTGTGCCACTCCCCCCGCCGTGACGAGACAATGCGACAATGGACGACGACGACGACGACGACCGTCGGACGACAGCCGACGACGACGGACGACGATGACGACGGAAGGCGACGACGACGGACGACGATGACGACAGAAGACGACGACGACGACGACGACCGACCGACGGCACAAGAAAAATTAGCCCGGCGAAGGACACAACCATATGCATTTGTGAGGACAGCAATTGTGAATATTTCCTTCGGTGGCGCTCCATATGGGGCCACGAACAGCACGACGGTGCGCCGAATTGCGTGGCGGTGTGCACGACGCGAAGGAAGACGACAGGTCGAATTACGAGAGAGTGAGCGCGGGTGAATCTGAGCGTGAGTGAGACTGAGTGTGAATGAGTCTGCGCGCGAGCGAGTATATTTGCATGAGTGCGAGCATGGCCACGCCTGGTGTGTGTGTATATATATATGAATATATATATATATATATATATATATATATATATACATCAACGAATGTGAACGGTTCACTTATGCCTGGCCCTGAATACTCGTGGCACTGAGCGTGGCCGCCGGAGGAAGCTTTCCCTGGAACCTCGCCAGCAACGCCCGCGCGCCGCGACGCCCATGTCGGCGCGCTCCTCACGATGATCGCGCCCGCTTTTTTCCCGTTCTCCTTCTCCCTCTGCGCCCGCGCGCGCCCACGTCCAAGGCTGCGGGCGCGGCGCCCCGCGGAGCCCCCGCGACGCGCGTTGGTCGCCCCGGGCGGGCCCAGGCGACGCGCGCGGGTCGTCCGTCGCGCGGCGCAGAGAGAGCTAGCTGGCTGGCTGATCGCGGGCAAGGCTGTGGCCGCTGGGCAGAGCAACGATGGGGGTGAGCGAGGCTCTGGGAAGCGCGCGGCGCGGAATTCCCACGACGCGCGCCGGTCGCCCCGAGAGGGTCCCAGCGACGCGCCCGGGTCGCCCGCGGCGCGAGGCCAAACAGTCAGGGCCGCCGCCTCCCCCCTGCACCCCTTCGCGCGCGTGGCAAACTGCTCCAGCTGCTTCCGCAAGCCCCCCGGCGGCCCTGCCAGGAAAAACTCGATGCGCGGCGCCCGCGTGAGCAGGAGGTCCTCGCGGCGGGTGGCGCGCGAGAGCAGCGCGAAGAGCTCCAGCCACCAGTCGTCGTCTTCCCTCTTGCCGTTCCCCACCTCGTGGCGGCCGCAATCCAGGATCACGCCTGGGCGACGTCGGCCGAGAGATCAGCGCGCCGGACAGCCGACGGTCAGGGCGAGTCCACGGGACAGAGAGATGGTCTGGCAGCGGACCGCTCAGGCCCAGAAGCTTTGGCCGTAGACTGCCCAGGGGGCGCCGTTCCTTCGCCCCGTCGCCTTCGCGCACGGTGCGCCCCTGGCACGCCGCCGTGGTGATGACCCTGCCGTGCGAGAGCGGGAAGCCCGTTCGGGTGACCTTGGAGGTGCGGAACGTGAACGGCTCCGGCGTGCGAGGCTCGATGGACACCAGCAGGCCCGTGAGGTCCCCCGTGAGGCAATCGCCGTGGCGCTTGAAGTCGCGCACGAAGGGCGCGCTCGCGTTCCTCTCCACGCGTACCCAGAACCCCACCGGCAAGTGCTTCAGATAGATCCTCTTCTCCCCGTCTCTCTCGGCTTTCTCGACATCGTCCCGATCCCGGCGATGTGCACGATCTGCCCCTCGGCGTCCTTGAAGAAGCCGCTCTTGAGGTCCAGCGCCTCCAGGAACCAGATCCGCATGCCCACGTGCACCAAGAGCAGTCCGTGCACCGGGAAAAGTCCGTGCCAAAATGAGGCGGCGGCGCCATGCAAACTGCACCACTGGGACCTGAAGTGGAGCTCCTTGTGGGCCCACGAAACGTGTGAGAGATGTCTCAAAATGGGGCGGCGGCGCCATGACAACTGCGCCACTGGGATCTTAGGTGGAGTTCCCTATGAGCCACGAGACGTGTGACAGGTGTGCCAAAATGGGGCGGCGGCGCCATGCTTACTGCGCCACTGGGATCTTCGGTGGAGCTCCTCATGGGGCCACGAAACGTGTGAGGGGTGTGCCAAAATGGGGCGGCGGCGCCATGCGAACTGCGCCACTGCGACCTTAGGTGGAGCTCCTGATGGGCCAAAAATGGGGCGGCGGCGCCATGCGAACTGCGCAGCCGGGACCTTCGGTCGAGCTCCCTGTGGCGCCACGAGACGTGTGAGGGGTATGCCAAGAAGGGGCGGCGGCGCCATGCAAACTGCGCCACTTGGACCTTCGGTGGAGCTCCTCATGGGGCCAGGAAACTTGCGAGGGGTGTGCCACATAGGCGGCGCCACGCGAACTGCGCCACTGAGACCTTAGGTGGAGCTCCCTGTGGGGCCACGAAACGTGTGAGGGATGTCTCAAAATGGGGCGGCGGCGCCATGCGAACTGCACCAGTGCGACCCTATGTGGGGCTCCCAGTGGAACACTAAACGTGCGAGGGGTGTGCCAAAATTGGGCGGCGGCGCCATACAAACTGCGCCACTGGGACCATCGGTGGAGCTCTTTATGGGGCCACGAAACGTGTGAGGGGTGTGTCAAAATGGGGCGGCGGCGCCATGCGAACTGCGACACTGGGATCTTAAGTGGAGTTCCCTATGGGGCCACGCAACGTCTGAGGGGTTTGCCAAAATGGGGCGGCGGCGCCATGCGAACTGCGCCACTAGGGCCTGAGGTGGAACGCCTCATGGGGCCACGAAACGTGTGAGGGGTATGCCAAAAAGGGGCGGCGGCGCCATGCGAACTGCGCCACTGGGGCCTGAGGTGGAGCTCCTTATGGGGCCACGAAGCGTGTGAGGGGTGTGCCAAAATGGGGCGGCGGCGCCATGCTAACTGCGCCACTGGGACCATAGATCGAGCTCCTTATGGGGCCACGAAGCGTCGTGCGAGGGGTGTGCCAAAATAGGGCGGCGGTGCCATGCGAACTGCGCCACTGGGTCCTTAGGTGGGGCTCCCACTGGGGCCGCGAAACGTGTGAGGGGTGTACCGGAACAGAGACATTATGAAGGCAAGGGCAAGGACTGGGAGAAAGGAGGAGGGGGAGGAGGGAGGAGGAGGAGGAGGAGGAGGAGGAGGAGGAGGAGGAGGAGGAGGAGGCGGGAGAGAGGGAGGGAGGGAGGGACGCGGGGCGCTGTCTCTTCAAAACGAAGACCCAACACCACAGGATGGTTGGGAAATATCAGCGTAAGCAAAACTACTTTCGGAGGTCGGCCCTGATATCTTGGACAGGCGCTGGAACCACCCCACCCTGGCGCGGAGCACGCCGGGGGCGGCGGCGGAGGCGCCGGCACAGGGGGGCCCCGCGCCGATCCGAGAACTCCGCGCGGACCTCCGAAAGGAACACTGAACAACTCTTGTTCTGCCAAGGGTTATTTCGGTGGTCCATCGGCCCGCCCCATCGTGGGCTGTGAAAGACAATTACAGTGGAGGCCCGACCACAAGAAACCTTCCACAATAACCCAGGACGTCCATGGATTTTTGGCGTGGGAACGCCACGCGTTCCATGGCAAAAGCAAGCAGGGTGTTTCTTGGCATGGGTCTCCATTGAAGAAATTGAAAGGCTTCCCAGAAGTCCAGAGGGTCTCTGCGCCTCCTGAGGGAGCCTGCCCGCTCAGAACCTTCCCCGCCGGGCGCGCCGCGAGTAATGCTTATGCCGCGTGCTTCTCCTTGTAGGACCCGAGCGATGTCATGATGCCGGAGTTCAGAAGTATCGAGCGGCCCTCGTTCCTGGAGCCCGTGCGTAACAATAGGCAGCCAGTCAAGTTTCAAAATCCTGGAAAATCGCATTGCCAATACTTCGACGTGCTTTGATCGAATTATTGGGATAACACCCTTCGGCAAAACGCCCTTCGGAGAAATGTGCGCCACGGGCACTCAACGTGCGCACGGCGCCGCCTTCCGAGCGGACCCCAGCGGGAAGCTAAGCGACGTCCAAAACCAACCGGAGCTGTCAGGGGAAACAGACAAGCGCACGTCGATCGATGAAGCCGACCGAGGACGGAGCCAGCACACTCGAGTGTCAACGCCGAGTGGTCAAGCGCAGATTTCCTTTGTCGACTTGCCTGGGTAGGCGATGTCTCAATTGAGAAGGGACCGACCGCCCCAGCATTCCTATAGGCCTACCACGAAATGTTCTTAGAACCCAGAAATGTGTGCCTTAAGACAAGACGGTCCCAGCCAGAAATGTTCTAAGAATATTTCGTGCAAACCGCAACAAGTTCTTAGAACATTATTTGGTAGGCCTGTAGGCACTCCAGGACGCTTCGCCACTGCTTGACTCAATGCTTGACCTGACACGACCGAGCGAGGACGACCGGCGGCCGGCGACCTCTGAATCGGCAGGGCTTCGCGTTGCGCAGGCAGCCCCCTCGGGAAGTCCCGGCTGGCCTGCTGAGGCCAGCCGGGACCACCTCGGGGGGGGGGGGCTGTCTGCGCGCCACCCGAAGCCAGAGATCCGAGGCCTTGTGTTTGTCAATGCGGGGTCCCCGGAAACCCCGACCCTTTCCCCAGGGCCCGTTCTTCGCCACGAGTCGCTTGTTGACAGCCCTGGGACCCCGCGAGGCCGAAAACGGCGAACCACCTCCGACTTGCTTCTTGTTGAACACGTTGGATCCATGGGCAGCCTTTGATTCACCAAAAAAAAAAGGACCCCTAACCCTTGGGGAGGGGACCGGAATTAGGAGGGCCAAGATCATTAGGGATAGGGGGTCTTTCTCCTGCAGATGTATCGAACCAAACCGCCCAAATGTATGATCCCGATTGCAAAGACGGGAGCATCAGTGAGGCCGCGTCTTCGTCGTGCTGTCAGGGTCAGGGGTTGCTTATCCTCGAGGAGCCTTGCCAACGACGACGACTCGCGGCCAGCGACCTCCGGATCGAAGACCTCGGCGAGGCGCGCTCCGCGTGCGGCGAGTCCTGCGTCTTGCGCTTCCGGGCGCGCTCCGCGTGCTGGCGGGCGCGGGTGCGGCGACGAAGGGACCGCCGCGGGCCTCGCCGACGGAGCCCGCGCCTCCGTCGCCGACGCCCCTCACGAAGAAAGCCAAGGCCCGATACGGCAGGAGCCCGACCACGAGAAGCCTTCCACAAGAAGCCCAGCCCTGAGACCCCAGGACGCCCATGGATTTTTGTTGGTGTAGGGGCGTCCCGCATTCCATGGCATGAGCTCGACGACGAGCCCAATACACACACACCCAAACACACACACACACAAACACACACACACACACACACACGCACGCACGCACGCACGCACGCGTATTGGCGTCGCGGCCACGCGCGCGGCAGTGCGGAGTAGGGCACACACACACACACATTCACGCACTGGGCCAGAACGGGCAGGAGACAAGCTGTACGAGAGGGAGCCAAGAACGAGGACGAGGACGACGAGCATAAGAACGAGGGGCGCTACGGACGGGAACTTTTGCTCAGCGCGTCGCGGCGATAGCCCAGGCGGCACGGTATGTCGTGCACGCGGACATCGTGACGCTCCGCTCCGCGCGGCCGAGGGAACGCCCGGGAAGCTGCTCGTGGTTGGCGCGTCGCGCCGAGGCATGGCGCGCCAGAAACAGCGGCGCGGCACGCCAAGCATCCGCTCCTGATCCGATGGCGGCCCAAATCTCCGACCGGCGCCGTGCTCTGCTCGCACAGTGGGCCCTCACGGACGTCCCAGCCCCGCACCCAGGACCGGGGTACCGCCGCTGGAGAGACGTGCTCCCGCACGGCCTGCTCCGGTGAAGCCGGCACCCAAAACCATGGACAGCCTCTCGTCGGGCAGCTGACATGGACTACGGATCCGCGGATCTGGCAGGTGGGCAACAGATCCATGGGCAGGAGAAAACACCACTCCAAACATGCCACCAGTGCTGCCTGATCTGGAGACGGAGCGCGCCTATTCTACACAGAAGCGGGACCCGTCGTTAATCCGCGCGCCTAGATCCATGTCTGTGCTTCCTGCACCCTGGCCCACCGAAGCAGCTGAGAGCCTCCCTGACCTCGACGAGACCGCCCCCTCGGCGGCGCGCGGCCGCAGCCTCACCCCACCAGGAGTCCGAGTTGCCCGTCGAGGAGGAACAGAACTGTAGGATTTGCCCACCCATCCCTCCTCTGAATCCTCCGACTCCATCCTCACCCACTCGCTCCCCCTCCTCTCGGCTTCACGCAGGAGTGAACCTAGGCAAGAGTGACCTTTCGTGCGCGGACTGGGCGGGCGCAAGGTGGCCAACCCTATCGCATCGCGCTCAGCGATCGGGGGGAACCCGATGAGACCGTATAAAAGGTCACTCTGGCTAAGGGTCACTCTTACGTGCAGTCGATCCTCCTCCTTCTCTTCTTCCTCCTCCTCGATCCTGCTCCTCCTCCTCCTCCAACCCTCCTCCTCGTCTTCCTCCTCCTCCACCTCCTCTCCTCCTCCTCTCCTTTTCATCCCTCCTCCTCCTCCTCCTCGCTCCCCTCCTCCATCCCATCCTCCGTTGTGAATAGCAGCAGGGTGCCTTTGCCCCGGCTGCTTGGCCACTTCGGCGCGGAGCGCTGGCAAAGCCGTGCTTCGGGGGCGGCCTCCGAGGAGGGGCACGTCCAAGTGGGGGGGGGAGGAGGAGGAGGAGGAGGAGGAGGAGGAGGAGGAGGAGGAGGAGGAGGAGGAGGAGGAGGAGGAGGAGGAGGAGGAGGTAGAGGAGGAGGAGGGAGGAGGAAGAGGAGGAGGAGGAGGAGGAGGAGGAGGGTCGCAAGTCATGGCCCGAGACACGCATACGCGGCCAAGGGGGAGGCCAGAGGGCGTTCTGAAATAGGCAAGGCGAAGGGGGGCACGAGATCCAGGGAGATACCATGGTCCAGGCCATGAAATGATTTCCCCCCCTAGTCTTATGTCGGGCCTGTCCCCCTACAGGGGGATTTCCGACGAAAAAATACCGTAAACAAAAATAAGAAAATAATAAAAAATAGTCCAGGGACTTTTTTCTAGTATGTTTTTACTTTTTGGGGGCATGTCTGGAATATTGTTTACTTTCCGTCGACAGTCCCCCTGTAGGGGGACACGCCCGACATAACCCTAGTCATCACCCCCGCCTCTCTTGGCCGCCCCCGATGGGAGCGCCCCCAGGCCCAAGGGCCCGGGCGCGAGGCGGACAGCAACACATCAGAGAGTTAGCTTCGACCAGCGCGGAGCGCCGGCGCAGCGTGGTGAGGCCTCTTGGCCAGAGGGGCTCGGGCGCGAGGCGAACACAAACATCAAAGAGTCAGCGAATCGGCTGCGAGCAACCGTGACAGCAGCCTCCCCTGGCCGAAGTTGGCCTCCCGAGTGGCTCCAAGGTAACAGAGGGAGTTGCCATCCCCCCTGCGACTCGCATTTCCAGTTCGCTCTGGGAAGAGCGCTGCTACATCATTGGGGCCGTTGGGGCGACGCCGCAGCGGCTTCTTCTACTTCCCCGCCCCGAGCCAGGCTTGCGAGCCTTGTTGATGCAGCCGAGGTCTCCTTCCAAACACCTGGCCGGCGATGGCGAAAAAGGAACAGGCGTCTACGCACACACACACACATCAAAACAAATAATTGCATACATCATGAGCAACGGACTGTCAGATCTGCGCTCGACTGGCATTACACAGAACATGCGGAAGAGCCCGTGGACGCGGAGGAGCACGACGACTCGAGCAGCCCACCGGCTTCACCGAGGTGGAAGCCACCAGCAGCACAGGAAAGCAAATCAAGGGAGACGGAAGGCATTGACCAGATCAGGAGGATGAGGATGACGAGGGGGATCTTCCTCCTTCTGATCCTCCCCGTGCCCTCGATCCTGGCACCCTCCTCCGTCACAACCCTGCCCCGGACCCCGATCACCCTGACACCCCCGAGAGAGACCGCAGAGGGTCTCTATGACCCCCCCCCAGATGCCTCTTGCCACCTCCTGGGGTATCCTGGCATCCCTCTCCTCGACGCTCGCGACGCGTCGCGGCCAGGTCAGGCGAACAGAACAGCGCAGCCGACGCGCGTGCCAAGATGAACAACCAGGGCAAGTCGGGGGCATCCAAGGGGGGTATCCACAAATCATGGACCAACGCACGAGCGCGGCCGACGGGGAGGGGATGCCCAAAGACGTTCTAAATAAGAGAGGGGCCATTTCATCCTGGGAGATGTGGCGGCCTCGGACGTGATATCTTGGGAAGCCAAAAGTACCGGAACCGCCACTCCACGGACCTCTCCCAGGGCGCGTTCTGAACAGCATGTCGAGGCGAATCACGCAGGGGCGACGAAGGCCTCCCAGGAGGCCCAGAAAAGCAACAACGATGGAGAGGTTGCGGTATCGGTACTCTTTGTCCTCCGTTATCCCCGTTGGCAATTACACGGTATGAATGTTACTCTTCCCTCTCCCCTGACCCTGTCCAGAAAATGTTCGGCCCTCTCCGCGCACTGTTTCACACGCACAACATGTCAACATTTGTTCTTCGGCTGTTTGTATACAATCCGGTCGTTGTCGGTCCTCCAAAAAGGGTGCTGCCGCTGCAGCGTGAGTTCCGTGTTTGGATCGGCGCTTTGCTACCATCGTTGTGAATGGCACTCTCGCTTCAGCGTGGGTCACTTTTCTGGATTCGAGTTCTTCCTCATCGTGGTCGCCCCCCCTGCTTTCCCCCCTCCTTTCCCTCCCCGCCTTCCCCTGGCACTCCTGCTCCTCCCGCTCCTTCCGCTCCAGCTCCTGTTGCTGCTGATCGTCCTCGTCCTCCTCCTTTTCCTCCTGCTCCTGCTCCTGCTCCTGCTCATCCCTCACCTCCTCCTCCTCCTCCTCGACTGTACGCAGCTCCCTTTGTCTCCAATTACGCATAAGACGATGGGGCCCTCTTTGAAATTCCAGGTCCGCCATGACACGCTTCGGCGGATAAAGCGTACAACAACGCAATAGGAAGGGATGGCTGGGAGGGGTAGGATGTCAGATAAGGCGCGAGCGTACCTGAGTTACCCCCCTCTCTCATCTCCTCTCCTCTCCTCTCCTCTCGTCTCCTCTCCTCTACTCTACTCTACTCTACTCTCCTCCTCCTCCTCCTCCTCCTCCTCATCCTCATCCTCATCCTCTCTTCCTCCTCCTCCTCCTCCTCCTCCTCCTCCTCCTCCCCCTCTTTCTCCTCTTTCTCATCCTCCTCCTCCTCCTCCTCCTCCTCCTTTCTCCTTCTCCTCCTCCTCCTCCTCACTCGAGGCGGGCTCCATTTCCTTTTCCTCCACCATCCCTCCTTCCCTCCCTGCATGTCTCGAGTGGCAGCGTGCCGATTACGCAGCGCAGCCCTCTGGCTCTTCGAGCGCGTGAGCGACCAGTGTCGCTGCGGACGCAAAACGCATGTCTCGAGGAAAACTTCCTCGGGGCATCCGTGAAACGCGCGGGGGGGAAGGCACGGAGGAAGGGAGCGAGGGAGCGACGAAGGCGGAGGAGAAGGGAAGAGGAGCACGGGCCGCACGATCAGCACGATCTGCTGCGGGGGGGGAGAGGAGGGGCGAGGAGCACGATCATGACGAGGAAGGCGAAGGCATCGCCGAGGGAGCGAAGGGGGACCGGGCATTCTCGAGAGGCCTTCAGTGCGATCGAAACAAAACATGGTGTCTTTCTGAGGCCTCCTCACCGCACAAGCGGAATGGGAAGCCGGGCATCTGGAGGCACGCGAGGCTCTCACTGCAGAGCTCACCAGGGGCATCCCGAAGCCCGCGAAGGGCCACAAAGTGCTCTGCATCCCAGCCCCCCGACGCTGGAACCTAGACGATTTTCTAATTCAACTGCAGCTTTCCGTGTCCATCCTCATCTACGCTGCAACCTTGAGGATGAAGGAGGGGAGGGTCTTCCTCGCCAGGTCATTCGGAATAAGGCCTCCCAGCTCACGGGAAGGAGACTCCAAGATGCAATAGCTGACCAGGGTGGAGGAGGAAGGAAGGGATGAATAGAGTACGCCTCTTGATGAAGAGGAGGAACTCCGGGAAGTTGACTCCGATCTTGCCGTTCGGCTTCTTGGAAGCGACCTCATGCAGGGCGGGTCAAGCGGGCTCCAGGACGCCCCTCTCTTCCCCTGCCTCCTCAGACAGACAGACAGGCACACAGACAGGCAGACAGACAGACGGACATACCGCCAGATAGCCAAACAGCCAGCCAGCCAGCCAAACAGACAGACCGACAGCGAGGGACGCATGTGGCGAGGGATAGGGGGGACGAAAGGAAAACATGCAGTGAGAGTGAGAGGAATAGTGCAGATGAAGAGTCTCAACAAACCACACAAAATAATTGCGTAGCGCGGATTTTGTGCCGAACGCTCACCGAGTCGACACTCTTGGTTGCCCATCCGATATCGCTCATTGACGAGCCATCTGTTCCGCCTACGCAGAGGCGTGCTTAAATGGCCGGCCTGGCCCCAGCCCTATACTGGTCCAGCCGGATGCTCTAGTTGCCCAACTGCCCTTCTCAGCTGCGCAGCGGGTGCAACTTGCACAGGTTCCTCCGGGGCAGTAGGCGACCGGAGGCGGAGGAGGAGGAGGAGGTGGAGGAGGGGGAGGGGGTGGAGAAGATGGAGGAGGAGGAGGAGGAGGAGGAGGAGGAGGAGGAGGAGGAGGAGGACGGGTCACCTAAGTCCTTCGGAGAAACCCTCCAGTGCAACTCCAACGAGAAGAGAAAGAGGCAGGCCAGGAACTCCGGCGCTGCTCTTTGTTCACCGCGTGGATCCGTGGAGATTTAGACCTCTCCCCCAGGGCCAGCCGTCCATCCCGCGTCGCTTCTGGACGGCCCTGGGGTCCAGCAAAGGCCCGCGGCGGCCGAAAACAGCCTGACACCTCCCGTCGTGTTTTGCTCGGGCGGGCGGCAGTGGGGGGGGACCCAAGTGGGGGGCGAAAAAACTACCAAATACCTCGAAGGGGCCCTTTTGGAGCCAGCAGGTTCACAAGAGGAGCCCTAAAGGGCCCTTTAGGGGCCCTTTTCTTCACCCCCCATTTGGGCCATCCCCCATTGGCGCCCGCCCGATCAGCATGGCTTTCGGGTCATCGATCCGGTCTCCCGCGGCCCTTCGGGACGATGCGGGCACCTGGGTACCCGCCACGCGCTCGCTGCGCGTCGCAGCTGCTGGACAGCATCCCGAGGCTGGGAGGCAACCTGGAGCCGACGGGACAATCCAAAGGCCTCGAACCTGGACTTAGCCACGCCGAAAAGGAGGAGGAGCGGAGGAGGAGGAGAGAGAGCGAGACGGAGGAAGAAGTGAGGGAAGATTGGAACGTAAGGTACTCGCCTCTCAAGGCTGGAAACCCTCGGGGAATCAACGGAACAATCCGACAACCTCGAACTTTGAATTGGTCACGACGAGGAGGCGGAGGAGGAGGAGGAGGAGGAGGAGGAGGAGGAGGAGGAAGAGAAGATGGAGGAGGAGGAGGAGGAGGAGGATTGATTGAGCTCCACGCTCTCACCACCGATGGATTAGACGCAAGCAGTGTGGGACCTGCTGGCGCTGGAGCAGGCTGCTCACCTCTCATGTGGAGGCCAGCCTGCACCACCTGAGTTTGCTTCCTGCCACTCGCTGTCGACCTCGTCCCACAGAGAGCGCTGGGAAGCTGGAGGGGCAGCAGCAGGCTCAACCTGGAGGAGGAGGAGGAGGAGGAGGAGGAGGAGGAGGAGGAGGAGGAGGAGGAGGAGGAGGAGAGGGAGCGAGGCAGAGGCAAGGAGGGAAGACTGGTGCGTAAAGCACTCGCCTCTAGAGGCTCGGAAACCTCGGGGGATCAACGGAACAATCCGACAACATCAATCTTCGACTCATTCACGACGAGATCGAGGAGGAGGAGGAGGAGGAGGAGGAGAAGGAGGAGTGGAGGAAGAGGAGAGGGAGCGGGCAGGAGGAAGGGACGAAAGACTGGTACGTCAGGCACTCGCCTCTGCGGGAATCGACGGAACAATCCGAAAACCTCGAACCTTGACCTATTCACGACGAGGAGGCGGAGGAGTGGAGGAGGAGGAGGAGGAGGAGGAGGAGAAGGAGGAGGAGGAGGAGGAGGAAGGGGAGAGAGGAGGCTGGGAATTCTCCGGGAATCGACGGAGCAATCCGAAAACCTCGAAGCTTGATATTCCTGACGCGGCGAGGGGGGGGGGCGGATGCACGGCAGGGCTGCGTCGCGAGGCCGCGCCAGGCCTGGCCGAAGAGTTTCTCGAACTCCTGGCAGTTGTTGTGGCCCATCGGCACGACCGTGGAGAGCATGGACTGGACATCCTACAGTCGACCCGTATCCTAGGGACGCGCGATAAGGATGCAGGGGCCTCGGAAGGCCGTTTCGAAGCTTTTCGAGCTGGGCGCGGCCAACGAAAGCGGCCAAAGATGGACCGAGGAGGCAAGGATGCAGGGGTACCCCTTGGGAAGGTTGCCCGTCCTTCTTGACTGTACTTGTGTCTTTGTGCTTCCCGACCATGGAGACAACGGGAAAGGCAGATTGATAAATCATGACTTCGTCGAGTCGCGTCATCTGAAAGCGGCTCGGTATGAAGAGCTGGTGCCCAAGAATGGGTCCAGACCTCTGGAGAGTCACGTTCGGTGAAAATTCACGGCGGACCTCTGGGTCCATCCCCCGATCCTTCTCCGTCCTCGTCCGTGTCCATCCACCAACCACATCCTCCTCCTCATCATTATTCTCCACCTGTTCTTCCTCACATGTTCTCTTCTGCTCCCCCGCCAAAGATACCAACGAAGGCGATGTTGCCTTTTCTCCTATGGCTCCGACAGCAACTCCAGTCCACTGCAGGACAGCCCGTCCTCTTCCAGCACGTGTGAGAGAGAGGTCTGAGAGGAGGTAGAAAGAGAGAGAGAGAGATAAAGAGAGAGAGAGAGAGAGTGAGAGAGTGAGAGCACTAGACACTAGGAGAGAGAGAGAGAGAGGGATAGCATCTGCCGAACAGGCGTGTGAGATCGCCTACAGTCTCAGAGAGTTTGAAGGTATCTTAGCGTTTCAAAGGGAAACTCTTGCTTCACTCGGGGGGGGGTACGTGCCGGGATGGCTCTGCCGGGGTAGGGGGGTGTGGGGAATTCACGGGCCCTGCGGGGGGCTGTCGGGGTTTCCCTAGAACCTTTGGGCCCTGGGAAACTGGGGGAGAGGTTTCCCCGACCAGGCCCTGTTGGGAGAGGCCCAGGGCTTCTTCGGCCCTCCACAGTAGCTGAACGAAGACGCATAAGACGGCCTCCAGGAGGCCGAAAAAGCGCCCAAGACGTCCGAAGTGGCCTCCAAGAGCACCCCCAAGAAGGCCCAAATGGTCAAACTCCTCTCATAACCTCAAAATTCTTTGATGCACGACTCCCCAGCCTCCGCGGCGGCCCGAAACAGGGGGGCCCCAAGACAGCCCCAGGACGGCCCAGGAGGACGCCCCAGAGGGCCCCACCACGCAGAGGGGCTCCCGAGACGGCCCGAGGAGGGCCCCCGGAGGGCCCCCGGGAGGGGCCCCGAGGCAGGGGAGAGCCCGAACCGACAGGGCGACTCCTCCGCCCCGAGAGGTCCCCCGGGAGGCCAGAGGCCCCCCCAAGACGCCCCGCGAGGCCCCACAGCGGCCCCCTGGATGCGCGCCTTCAGGTTGCCTCCAGGATGCCCCCGAGAGGCCTCCCACGACATCCCAGCGCACATCCAAGAGGCCGATGACCCATCACCCATGCGCGCCTTCAAACTGTCTCCAAGATACCCCCGAGAGGCCTCCCAGGACATCCCGACGCACATCCAAGAGGCCTACGACCCATCACCCACGCACGGTGGCGGGATGCGCCGAACGGCGCCCCCTGTTGATTTGTCACAGGGGTGCCTGGCGTGCTGAATCTCTTACGGCTTTTGTTTCTGGTTCTTTTCCAAAAGAACTCCCCCTCTGGGGCTTCGGTCCATTGCGCCGGCCACCCGAAAGGCAGCACAATCCGCCCAGAAATTGCCAAACCGCCTCTAAGACAACCAAGATGGCCCAAGATGGCCTTCAGACGGCCAAGCTGGTGTCAAAGACGGCCAAGATGGCCTCCAAGACGGCTAAGATGGCCCCAAGATTCCTCCAGAACGGCCCAAAATACACTCCAGACAGCCTAAGATGGCCTCAAGATGGCGCAAGACGGCCCAAGAGACCTCCAAGAAGCCTCCAAGACGGCCCAGAAGGCCTCCAAAAGGCATGGAACCATTTGTGTATGTGCTCCGTTTCGGTATTATGACGGCCCGAGAAGGCCAATGGAGCCCCTAAGGTCGCCCCAAGATCGCCCAAGAAGTCTCCAAAATGGCCCCGTATCGGCCCAAGAGGCCCCCGAGACTGCCCCAAGACGGCCCAAGAGGCCTCAGAGACGCCCAAGATGGCCCTCAAGACGGCCATGAAGCAAGTCGGTTCAGAGAGGCCCCCAAGACGGCTCCCGATGGCGGCCGACGTGCTTGGAACGCCTTACGACTGCCAAAGAGGCCCCCCAGAAGGCCCTAAAGGCCCCCACGAGGCCCGAGGAGCCCCCAAGACGCCTCCAAGAGGCCCCCAGGAAGCTCCCAGAAGGCCCCAAGAGTGCCCCAAGAGGCTCCATAGAGGGCTCATCCTCCTCCTCTATATTCCTCTCTTGATCCTCCCTCTCTTTCTCCCCCAAGTGTTCCCGCAAGAGTTTCCAGGGCGGCTGGGGGAACACATAGTCCGATAGCTTGGACAGGCTGGGGTCTATCGTTTAGCCACAGAGGCGCTTCTCAAACAGGCAGGGGGCGGCGATGATTCGCCGTAGGCGTCTTCGATCATGCCTACAGAGCCCCAGCTCAACTCCCCCCTCAACTACAGAGCCCCAGCTCAACTCCCCCCCCCCAAAAAAAAATACGCGCCAAAATAACGCGATGACAGCTCTCAACAAAACCCTCAAGACCGCCAACATGATTTTACCACGTCTGTAAATCCGCTAGGTGCGTCCCAGATCGGCGGCATTGGCCGACGGCCACTAAAATAAATGAACGTAGGATGGGTAGGTTGGGCAGTGCGGAATGGGGTGATGAGGTTCTGGGCAAGAAAGGCATGAGAACATTATGGCTTAGACTGGATCTATCACGGAGACTGAGACCAGCCCCGATCTCTTCCAACAGCCGTGCATTGGAGCCCATGGGGAACACGCGAGGCCTCCTCGGGAACAAATGCACCCGCCACTGGCGCTGCTACCCCCCCTCCCCCTTCCCCGTATTCCATCATCTCCTGGGCTTGTAATCGTACCTCCTGGGCAGATTCAAATTGCAAATTGCAAAATCGTTTAAGTTACACTTTCCAGGAAGCGACTTAAACGCTCCCGGGACTCTCTAGTGACCCTCCAAGGGCCCCTGGGACTCTCCAGCGACCCTCCCGTGGCCCCTGAAACTCCTCAGTGACCCACGAGGGCCACCTGGAACTTTTCAGAAGTCGCCCTGCAGCTGGACCTCTCCAGGGACTCTCTGGTGACACTCCAGGGGCCCTTGGAACTCTCCAGCGACCCTTTGGTGGCCCCTGAAACCTTCCAGTGGCCCGCGAGGGCCCCCTGGAACTTTCCAGAACTCGCCCGGCAGCTGGAACTCCCCAAAGACTCCGCGGTGACCCTCAAGGTGCCCCTGGCTCTCTCCAGCGACCCGCGAGGGCCCCCTGAACCCGCCCAGAAACCTTCTGGGGGGGCACTCGAACCCTCTAGGAACCTCCATGGGGGACCCTGGAGCCCCCTCGAACCCTCCAGGAACCACCAGCCAAGGTGATCCTGGCACTCTCCCAGCCGCTCCAGGACCCCCTGGGAGGACCCTGACGCCCTCCAGTCCTGGGCGGACCCTCGGAAACCCTCCAGGACCCCCTGGGGAGGCCCTGGAATCTCCAGTAGCCCCCCCAGGAGACCCTCGAATCCTCCAGGAACCTCCGAAGTAACCCATGGAACCCTCCAGAGCCCTCCAGGAATCCATGGGGGGGGCCCGAAACCCGTCTGGACCCCCCGCGGGGAGCACCGAACCCTCCCGGACACCCCTGGGGGGTCCTGAAACGCTCCCTCGGACTCTCCGAGGGGATCCTGGACCCCCCCAGAACCCTCAAGGACCCTGAGGGGGCCTCAAGGAACCCCTGTGGAGGACCATCGAACCCACCAGGAACCCCGATGGGGGGCCCTGAAAACCTCAGGAACCTCTGGGGAACCCTCGAACCCTACAGGAAGCCCCAGGGGGGACCCTGCAGCCCCCCCCCAAACCCTCCATGAACTACCACAGGGGAAACTGGAACCTTCAACACCCTCCAGCAATCCCAAAGTGGTCCTCAAACCTCTCAGGAACCCCAGGGGGGACCCTCGAACCCTCCACGAACTCCCTGGGGGGACCCGGAAAACCTCCAGGACCTCCTGGGGGAACTCTCGAACTCCTCGAACTCTCTAGATCGCGTCGGTATCTTCAACAGGTCTCCGATACCAACTGGAACCTGCCAGGCCCTTCCCGACGACCTCTCCTAAGTTCCAAGCTCTTGCGGCGAGAGAAGCTTCAAGTTTCGAATTACGAACTTGGAATTTAACAGACCAGCTCACCCGTGCTCCTCCCCACTCTACTCCTGCGCAGCCCAGGCTCCACCTCCCCTCTCGATCACACACACACACAGCGAGCCCATGGAAACACCTGAGGCCTCCTCGGCAAACAAACGCACCCACCAGAGGCGCTCCTACCCCCCTCCCCCTCATCCATCCTCTCCCCCGCTCCTCCTATATCCTCTATCCTCCTCCTCCTCCTCCTCCTCCTCCTCCTCCTCTTCCATCTCCTCCTCCTCTTACACCTCCTGCTCTTCCTCGTCCCCCCTATCCTCCTACTCCTCCTGCTCCTCCTGCTGCTCTTCCTTGTCCTCATCTAAGCCGTTCTGCGATCAGGAGGTTTGAGCGGTGCAGGTGCGTATCTTCAGAACGGCTCGCACCTGTGGGCCAGAGTGTCTCGGTCGGGAGGCACTTCCCCCCCCTTCTCCGTCGCCCTATGCATGCACAAGTGTCGCGATGGCTCACGGTCAGCCGCCCTGGGCCCCTTGCATCCCTCAATCGCCGTCGGAATAGGCGCCCAGAATGGAAGAGGCGCTGCTGTGACGGACACGGGCTTGGGTGGCCCGTCCAGGCACGCTATGCTCGGTTAGCGCTGCCAGACTGAGAGACGGCCGAGCCGGGGGATCGAAGCAGCATGTTCCCCCCTAGATTCACTTCCCCGTTGCTCCCCTTGCCCGCCCGCTCCATTTTTTCCTGCGTGGTCAGCTCACGTTAGGGGGCCACAT